AGGAGGAGGAGGAGGAGGAGGAGGAGAAGAAGAAGAAGAAGAAGAAGAAGAAGAAGAAGAAGAAGAAGAAGAAAGTTGTTGTCACACCTGACTTTGCTCTTACCCGGCAACCTCTCCTCCGTAAGAAGGACCAAGGGAAAGTTTCCAGTTCCCCGCCTCTGATATGCACCCTGATTGCTCAGTCTTTGGCTCAGGGTTAAGGCAAAGAAACGCACCCAATGTTCTGGAACACTCTTCAACTTTCCAGGACCACTTGATTCCTAAAATATTTCTTTCTGTAAAAACTTAAGAGAACTTCTCCCACTTAAGCCCCCAAACACACACACACACACACACACACACACACACACACACACACACACCCGCGCGCGAGTCTCTCACTGCCCAGGAAACTTTCTTTGTTTCAGTAAGTCGAAGGAAGGCTCCTGGGGTGTGAATTCACTTCCTTGTTTTGTTAGCCTGAAGGGTGGGAAGCCAAGGCTTTCTCAGCTTGTCTCCCTGCCCTTCACCCTTTGCCAGCCTCCATTGTCTCCCCCAAATTAGGTGGCTCCTTCTCCACCCTCAATAACCCCATACATACCACATCTTTAAATGCAGCTTTACTGCCCTGACCGAAGTCCCCTGCCCACTATCAATTGCACAGCCTTTCCATTGGGTCCCCATCAAATACAAAAATCTTTGCCTTAAAGTCCTGTAATTTCTTCCAATGCCTCCACCTTTCTTGCCCCCAGCTTCCTTCTGCCTTCAGAGTAGTGTTTATTCACCCAGGGCTGGAGTTAGAGATTCCAAACTCCTGGGGGGCGGGGGGGGGCGGAGATCGCTGCAGAATTCAGCATTATTTGCCGCTGGAATGTTGCCTCTATGGGGCTTGCAAATATCATTTTTCTATTAGGTCATGATCTTTGACTGGGTTTATATGCCAATGAGGCATTTCTGGTTTACCAAATTTATACAAATCCCCTCTTAATTGATAATCACAGATGCTGTAATTTAAAACCTACAGCTATAGAGCTTTCATATTAACTGCTGATGTATTGCTGCAAATCGTCCGAAATAACCAACTCCTGGGAGCAGAGCAGAGAGGGAGGAAGTGCCTCCCAGAACGACTCTCTCCCAGCCACAGAACCAGCCCAGCTTCTACATCATTTTCTGTGAGAAATGATTTATCGAAGACATGGCCATAAACAACACAACTCACTCACAAACACATGCAGACGCGCGAGTGCACATGCACACACACACACACACACACACACACACAATGGTTGGCATGCTGGCTGAGAAGCTGACACCCATATTGCTATAAATCAAGAAAAAGGTTGGAGGAGAGAGAGAGAGAGAGAGAGAGAGAGAGAGAGAGAGAGAGAGAGAAATATTCCTAAAATCTCTATGCAATGCCTCAATGGGTATAAACAGAGACCATCCTGTGAAGAGAAATGGCAGGAAATGAAGATGGCTATTTGTCACATTTTACGACAATAACATTAATAACAAACAATAAATTTACATGGACATATAAGGCGCGGTAGGTAGTGAAAAATCCCTTCTACTTACAGAACCCCAGCCCGCGGTGTGGCTCCAGCTGCGGGGGCTGTTTTACTGATGCCTCCCTTTCTTTTTCTCTCTCTCTCCCTCTCTCCCTCTCTCTCTCTTTTTTTCTCAGGGTACAGGCTTGTTTTTCAAAGGACAGTTGAATTGGACGTCAGAAACAGGGAGACCGAGCCTGCGATTTTCCTGACGAATACATATCTATTCTGCAACCTCGGCATTAATTATTTAATGAATCACGTGACCGGGAGGGGGAAGGGGGTCTTTCGATTTCAGGCTCAAAGGACCACTATGACCTTCCCCTTCATGAGGAGAAATTTTCCTGTAAAATAGGTTCCCCCCAACCCACCAATGGAATAGTAGCAAGGTCTCACTCCCACAAGCACATCTATACGTACTCTGCTTATAACTCCCTACCCCCACAGGCACACACTTACCCACAGCCCACCTCTCCTCTCTCCCTTCTCCTCCTGCTTCTGCTTAGTTCCTAGAGGTGCAGAATAGTCTGCTGGGGCATCTGGGTGGGGGTGGGGTGGGCATAGAGCCCTTCTCCAAGCCCCTGATTTTTCTCAGCTTCCTGGTTGTAGCTTTTAGAATTGAAATTCCCCTTCCAACTCCACTCGGTGCCCCTACCAGTGGGGTATTTATTTTAGCAGGACCCACTCACTCTCTTCGAACTCATCGACAGTGTCTCTAAGGGAACCCGACAGAAGAGGAAGACTCTGTGCAAGTCCTTGCTACCTTGTATGTACCATAGTGGGACTTGGTGGGGCTTTCTTTCACCTTTTGATCTTTTGTAGTGTACCTTTGAAAGGTCAGAAACACACAGCGTGAGGAGATGACTCTGAAGCTCCCCGGATAGAGAATAATCAGGAGGGGGACTTTCCCCTTAGCATTGTTACTACCATAGGGAACTAAATGCTGCTGAGGATTTGATAATAGGCTCCAGAGACAAAAGACCCAGGGACCAGGGCTTCCATACAAAAGAAGCAGACACCCAGACTCTACCTATGTCAACCCCATCTCAGTCTCTGAAATACACTAATGAAGGTAGATGAAGAGCCGAAACAAGACTGGACAGAACAGGGAGGAACGCTTTGAAGCCTGCCTGGCAGCCTAGGGTCTATATTTCCCAGGTGTTAGTGTTCTGGACTTCCAATCAACAGACAATGGCGATTGATCAATGAGGAAAAGATGGGGATGATACACGTTGAAGTGTTAACCATTTGGATGGGAGATATCCGTGTGCGCGCGCGCGCGCGCGTGTGTGTGTGTGTGTGTGTGTGTGTGTGTGTGTGTGTGTGTGTGTGATGTACAGACTCTTTCTCTCCAAGAATAAACAAAACCAAACAACCCCCAAACTTCACAAGTTATAAGTGAATCTGAGTCTATAGTTGGGGCAGGGGGTGGAGGGACGCAAAGGAAGTAGAAAGGCATTCCTAAGCAGCGCCCCCCCCCCCCCCCCCCCCCCCCCCCCCGCGCGCTGAACGTCCCCAGCCTTATCTACTTCAGCAGCTCTGGGGTAGCTGCGACCAGGCCGACAGGGCATCCGTGTAATGGGAAAGAATAAAGGCAACAGGGTGGGAGAGCCGGGGGATGGGGATGAGGGGTCTCTGCTGGTTTGTTTAGAAGGGTCTGAACCAAAAGCGACTCAAAGAAGGTTAAGGACCTCTTCATGTAACCACCCCAAAGAAACAGTCTCCCCACGTGTGCCACGGAGGTTTCGAGGCAGCAGGACCCCTGCGGAAAGTACTGGAATTCTGCCCCAGCCCCACTGGGAGGGGGCGCCGGCGGGGCCCAGACTCTGTAGGGGGGGTAGTCGGCTTTGATTGTCCAGATCCTGAACACAGACTGGTATTGAATTCAGCCTGATGCTGATGTAGGCCTGCTCCCGTCTCCTGCGAGGGCAAGTCTACAAGGTCCCTGGCTACAAATCCATTAAAAGGAAAATGCTCCCCCAAAAACAAAAGGGGGGGTAGGAGAGAGGGAAGGAGGGAGGAAGGCAGAGAGGTGGATAGAGGGAGAGAGAGGGGAGGGCTATAAATGAATAAATTGGAACATGAGGGAATGACAATCTTTAAAACCGAGGATAGCAATCCTTAAACCGGAGAAATTATATTTAAAGACAAGAAAAAGGAGAGCTTTGGTGAGGTAGGAGAAGCCAGCCAGGTTGTTAAAGTGTGCACACCCTTCGGATCCTGGGAAATGTCCACGTTCAAATAAACAAGCACCCGAGTGAGCGCGAGCTGAGCGCTTTCTCGCTGCCGATAAAGCGAACGTTTAGACTGAGAAAAAGCGAGATTGATTTACGAATCCGAACGCGCCGGTTTTATGGCCGATCACAAATCCGTCAGCGCTCAACTCACGCTGGGAAACTTCCCAACTCCGTTTTCCAATCAAACCCGCTCGCAGTCACCGCTTCCCAGGGAGACCCACCAGGCAGGCGCTGAGGCCAGAAGGAAGAGAGGGAAGAGACGGAGTGCTGAGGGGCCCAGAGAACCGAGGGGGAGAGGTCAAAAGATTGGAAGGCCTCTGGGGTGGTGGGTGGCCACTAGAGCTGCGGGAAGTGAGCCACGGCAGCTGTCAGATCCAAAAAGGGTTAGCTCTGGAAATGGGGGAAAGAGGAGTCTTACACCGTGAGCCTGGGGGGTGGGGGTGGGAATGAAAGACTTTGGTGAACCCCAGCCTTTGGCCACCATTATCGCTCTTCTGTTTTGGTGTACCCCTAATTCTCACGTCTCAGAGATCAGTTTAAAGTTCTAGTCTTTGTCACTTGAGCCCAGAGAGGGCCCACAAGCAGCTATCGGTTAGGTTATATATCTTTATTGGCAGATATTTTCAGTATCAAAGTGGTCCAGTCTACCTGGTTGCCCACTCACCCCTTTCCTACCCAAGGCCCCAGTTCCTCCATTTCTGCTACCCAGGGACAAAGAAAAGGCCAACCGCTCAGGTTTTCTCTTGTCTGAGAGTCCCCAAATTACAGGAAAAGATTTATGCAATGTGAACCAGCAACACTTCACACACCCTTCAGCCAAGCCCTGTCTCTTCCTTTCTTACTTTAAGGAGAGTGGTCCCTCTTCCCAGCTAGGAAAACCTCTCCCTCCCTCTCTCCATCCTCTCTCCATCCCTCCCCTTTGATGGGTGCTGCTGATGTGGGTGTTAATGTGGAAGATAGAACATTGATTATAGAGGGGTCTATGATCGACCTTCCCCTCTTAGCAAATCTTCCATCTGTCTCTTAACTTAAAAAGTTTCAGCAAACTTTGGTTAGCACTGCAGGGGGCAGGGCTGGAAGCAGTCAGAGCAACCTGCCACAGACCTCCTCCCCATTTCTCTTGCTCTTCGGGGTACCCAAGGACTTAGAAATGGAAGTTTGGTGTGCAGAAGATAAGGTGATTATAAAAGTATAGTTTCCTCTCGAAAAACCAAAAAAAAAAAAAAAAAAGTATAGTTTCCTAAACAAAGGAACTTCAGAAGATGGGTTGAGAGACTGTAGATTTGGAGAGAGAGAGAGAGAGAGAGAGAGAGAGAGAGAGAGAGAGAGAGAGAGAGAGAGAGCCTCCGAAGGAATGTTCATTTCTCTCCTGCTCAGGAGCTTTCTTCCCCTGGTGGTCTACACGCAGCCTCATGGACAGTGTCTGTCTAACCTCTCAGATTGTATCCTTAGGCCCTCTTCCTTCAGCTTGCTTTAGGCGAAGCTAAAAAAGAGACGGTGCAAATGGACTTGGGGTAGGGGAGGAGGTTGACGCCCAACCCAGGGAAGGGGTTTGAAACAGGCAAACCAGCATTCTGCTCCCGACCCACAGGACTTCTGAGCTAACTTACAAAAACAAACAAACAAACAAAAAAACCACCTTTCTTCCCAATCCACAATAATAGAAAAATGATCCAGAAATTCTGAGATAGCAAAGGATTTGGGCACAGTTGGGGGGTGGAGAAGCTGGAACCCCTCTCCCTGAGGAGGTGTGACTTTCCCTCTGGGGCAGGAAGCCAGAGCTAGCACAATGTCCAGTCTCAGAGAGGTCAAGGGGCTTCCGAGGTCATTTTGTGGTTCTAATACCAAGCTAATCGCCTAGAAAACGTGGCCTCTCCATGAACTCTCCATCCTGCCAGCCTCCCGCCTCCAAACTCCAAGTGAGGCCTCAGGGAAAAGGGGCCAGGACATTCAGGTCTGAGGCAGGGCCCACTGATTCCCAAACCCAGAACAGAGCCCCCAAACCCAGAAGCAAAAAGAAAGGTGGCTGAACACGGAGCCTCCAGGAGGCCTGGAGTGTGGGGTGAAGTGGGGTGGGAGGTGAAGTGGGGTGAGGGGGTGGGGGGACAAAAAAGAATTTCTATGTCAGTGCACCTGGCCCTGAGCGGTTCCTCCTTCTCAGGGAGTAAAGGATTTGTCTAGAATCCCAAGCTAGACACCAGAAGGAAATCCAACCAAATGAATTCACTTCTACCAGCTCCCAGGCTTCATTCAAGAACTGCATTTCATTTCTCCAGGAGGCCGCCGTGTCAACATCTATCTCCCTGGTAAACAGTGTAGACAATCGGAGTCCCAGGAACACACTGAGTATGCACCTTGCTAGACACAGGCACGCACAGGCACACACAGGCTCTCCCCAAGCACGCCTGCATTTTTCAAAAACCAGAAAGCACTTCTGAAGAGCGGCCCAAACAACCTTCTTCTCTGGTGTTTTTCAGGGACCCTGACACCTCTGTCCCAGCCGGTTCAAACACTCTCCAGGCGCCCAGGCCTCTCTCCTCGGTCTCTCCCACTCTCTCCCAAACATCAGTCATCATAAAACGCAGCAAACCTGCTCAAGCATCCACCATAAAAACCCCACAAAGACAGTTGAAGAAGAAAAAGGAGGAGGTGAGCTTTTTTTTTTCTTTTACTTGTAAAAAGAGCCCATAAAATTATTTCAAAACAAAACAAAACACAACAGAAGTCACCCCAAGCCAGGGCTTTGTTACCTTCTTCTGTTCCTCTTGCCTGCTCTCGCCTGAGTGCCTGGGCTTCGCTGGTCCCATTCATGGTGAAAGCCTTCTTCCACACTGAGAGAAAAAAGTTTTCAACTTTAGGGTTCCAAAAATGTTCCCCCTTGCAGATCCGGGAGAGGCGGCTAACACTTTTTCCCCCAACAGCCGGTCTGCGGAGATTTGCTGTTGAATAATAACAAAGGAGAGAGGATACGTATTTAAAGAAAAGAAGTGATTAATGGTTTTCTGTATAATTCTCACATTTTTCTTAGCTCTTGTCTACACAGAATGGCGGTGAACTTTAAGCACCATAGAAATCTTCGTCTTCGTCGTCTTCTTCTTTTCTTTTCTTTTCTTTTTTTTTTCTTTTAAGATTCTATTCATACCTTCTAAGAGGCAGCTTTGATTTGATTCTTTAGAGACATTCTTGCAGGGAGACCTTATGGTTTTCGAGAACTATTTTTTCCCCTCAACTAAGGAATGTCTTATGTCCTCAAAACTAAAACATTACACCACACCAGAGACAAAGCTAACCCACTCATCCTCCAGGTCTACAGGCAACTCTTCTTCCTTCCTCCCTTCCTCCCTCCCTTCCTTCCTTTCTTAATTTTTTAAACTAATCTCTTGGTTGCATTTTAATAGGCAACTCTACGGCCCTGGAGATACTGGCCCGATGGGTTCTCTGGCCTTACTCAGTCAGATTCCTGCTACCCTTACAGGCCAACTAAAGAAATGCAAAATAAACAACGACCAAACATGTGGATGGTATTGGCTCTTTATTTTCTGGAAAGAAAGGGGACAAAAAAAAAAAAAAAAAAAAAAAAAAAAAAAAGCCCAAGACAAAACGAAACAACTTTTAATTGTATATGCTCT